CCCCCCCTCTCCCTTTAATCAAGCAGTTTGGACTTTGCACTTGTTTGTTGAATTCTTCAAGTGGTGCAGGGAGGAGTTGTGCAACTTTCCTGTTCCGGTCTTCTTCGGAATTTTTTCCAAAAAAAAAAAGAAAAGAGAAAAAAAGGACTTTTGGAACGTCTTTTTCTGTGTAAGTCTTTCGTGAGGGGCATCTATCCGTATGTGTCTTCTTCTTGTTCCTGGCCCTTTTTTTGTTTCCCCCTTATTTGTTTTTCTTTCCTTAGTTTTTGAAAGGCAAGTGTCCTTTGCAGAACTGAGAGCATGCAATCCTTGCAATCTGTAAATGTTTGAAGTGCACCTTCCCCACTTTCCCCACTTTCTTTTTGTTTTAATTGCCTTGATGGCCGATGGAGCGGATATTAAACCATTGCAAGCGGACGCCGTCCGGGTAGTTCCGCACGTGCGGCAGACCGCCGGACCGGACCCGTGCGGCGCACGAATGTGCGCCCGACGACCAGTTACCCCCCCCCCCCCCCAAAAAAAAAAAAAAAACGGCCCCGTCCGGTCCGGTCCGGGTCCGTCTGGTCCGGGGGAAGGGTGCCGCACGTGGCAAAGCGGACCGGACCGGACCGGACCGGACGCTCGTCCGGTCCGTCTGCTTGCAAGTATGTATTAAACTGATCAGAGATTCAGAACAGAATTCAACAGATACTACACTTTACCGGAAAACTGTATCTTCAGCACTTTATGTGAAAACAAGGCGATCAAGCTGATGTGGGCTTTCTACACCAAGAACAGACATCTCCCTATACTGTTCAGCAAATAGCCACAGCTTGTTACATAAGGCTCATAGCCGAGTGTCATTGTATAGGTAGGCACCTACACAGCGCTTTAGGTATAAGCAATCTAGCCAAATGTGAGACCTGCTAGGCACAGGAACTTGGGGAAGTAGTCTTATTTTCCACTTGTATGTGTGGACTTCTTGTGTTCAAGCTGTGTGCAAGGTTGTAGCAATTGGCAATTGTGTGCATCCCTAGGCTACCAGCCAGGCCGCCCGGGTCCCGGGTGGCCAGCCCGTGCAAGGACCAGCCAAGGTCCAAGGGAAAAAAAAAAAAAAAAAAAAAAAAAA